CAAAGTTACCGGATCCCTTTAAGGTACTATGCCCCTTTTGCAGGCCAAAAAAATGAAAAGGTTAAATTCCAATGGCAATTGAAAGATAATACTAATTTAGAACTCCCCTTAAAAAAATGGGGCTTGAAAATGTCTTTAAGAGGGAAAATAGCGACTATTAGTTTCCAAATTGACTTAGGAGCAATAGAACCAAAAAGTAATAGTCTTGATTTTCAGACCATTGTACCGCATGGTCGTACGTTTTATGCTGCGCAAAGATTCAATCAGTTTAATTTTGGCCATTACAAGATGGGTTATTGATGTAGACAAATCCCTTTACAGCTCATTTTATGTATGTTATTACCAAAGAAGAAGAAAAAGCCAGTCAGTCACTCAATACTGACAATAGTGTCTGATCGACCGTGAAGTCTAGCAAGTAAATGGTTTTCCTTGCATAATTTGAATATTAGGACTCTGCTAACGTTTACATTTCACAGATAGGATATACTGTACATGACATATTCATAATTCTTGCAGAAGTTCTACAGAATTTGAGGTTGGCTGCAAAAGGTACATAGTATCTTTAAAACTACCTTCGCAATATCGCCCAATACACACACATCCTTCCCATCTCATTTAGTTGCCTTTTCATAAATGATTGAAAGAAGAATAACATAATAAGAACTACAGAAGAGTACCCAATAAACAAAATCACGTGAAAATCACGTCTATATTAAGGTATCGATTTGAGGAGAGTTACGTTCTTCAAACACCTGACATTTACGTAAATGTGTTAATACGTTTATTGCACTAGGTAACTTAAAACACACGTACACTAAATCACGCAATTGTCACTGCAATATCACCATTATAATAACGTGATTATCCCTACCTTGGAGACCATGGTTTGTAAACCTAATATTCCCGTGTTTGTTTGGTTATGAAATTACATCTTCATAAACGAAATTATCGCGTCAAAGAAACACGTGAAGCGTTAGTGATAGTTTTAGTCAAAATATCTGCGTGAAATTCACGTGAATATTACGAGGCTGACTTGAGATGAATCATGTTCTTCATTCACGTGAAATTTACGTCGAAGAGGAAGTACGTTACTGTAACCCGCGTTCCACCCAATAATTACGCAAATGTTACACAATAAATGAACCGAAATAATGACGTTCTCATCCCGTTTCTGAACATCGTGTCTTGGATCTTCCAGAATTACGTCCAGGCGCGCCGGAAGCAGTTTGGGATTAGAGGGGGTTGGGGGGGGTGCAAACATCACAGAAGAGAAAGCTGGTTGTAACTGGTCCAGTTGATGAACCATTTAATGCCAACTGGTAACCCTGGAAATTGAAATGGGCTAAATGATCCAGTTGATCCAGGCCAGTTATAATTCAACTGGTCTAGCTGAGCCATTAGAACCATTTGGTAAAACTTCCAACCAGTTGAGCAGCAACAATACTTCAATACTGGTACGTCTGTATTTCCAATGTAAGGGCATTGGTAATAAGTAGACTTACATGATTGAATTAATCGAAAAATTTTCGTATACTTGTACTTTATTGAAATTATTTTAGTTCATAGTTAATGTTTCCCTTATTCATGTTTAACTAAATGTAATTTATACGAAGTAGCGAAATGTCCTAATAACTGGTGATTTATATTTGTAGTATTTTCGAAATTAATTGCATATAACTAAATCATCAGTAATTAAGAAATATGCTGTAAATTCAGATAAATTGTTTAAAAAACATAGATCTGCACGCACCCCATATTCAATATGCAAATTAATTGGTGTCGGCTGGTTCAACTCGAAATATGCCAACACTCAGTCATCAACTGGTGCAACTGGAAATATGCACATTCCAGTTATCAACTGGCGCAATGAAAATATGCCAACAGTCAGTTATCAACTGGTGAACATAGAAATATGCCAACAGTCACGGAATTATCATCACGGAACTTAAATGGTAACTGTGAAACCATCAAGACACCCAAGAATAACTCATTTTCACACCTAGAAAACACGGAATACCCAGCTTATATTGATAATCCGTTTGAGTCACGAGATCATCACCGCGGAACTTATGGCAACTTTGACTACCATTTAAATAGGTGTTTTAAGACACCTAATAATGACTAATTTTTCACACCTAAAAGTCACGTATGCCCAGCTTAGATTAATATTCCGTTTGAGTCACGAGATCATCACCGCGGAACTGCTGGCAACTTTGACTACCATTTAAATAGGTGTTTTAAGACACCTAATAATTACTAATTTGTCACACCTAAATATCACGGATTCACAGCTTAGATTAGTAATCAGTTTTAACTACGTGATCATCACCAAGAAAGTTATGGTAACTTTGAAACCATTTAAAAAGGTGTTTTAAGACACCTAATAATTATTAATTTTTCACACCTAAAAGTCACGTATGCCCAGCTTAGATTAATAATCCGTTTGAGTCACGAGATCATCACCGCGGAACTGCTGGCAACTTTGACTACCATTTAAATAGGTGTTTTAAGACACCTAATAATTACTAATTTGTCACACCTAAATATCACGGATTCACAGCTTAGATTAGTAATCAGTTTTAACTACGTGATCATCACCAAGAAAGTGATGGTAACTTTGAAACCATTTAAAAAGGTGTTTTAAGACACCTAATAATTACTAATTTTTCACACCTAAAAGTCACGTATGCCCAGCTTAGATTAATAATCCGTTTGAGTAACGATATCATCACCGCGGAACTTATGGCAACTTTGACTACCATTTAAAAAGGTGTTTTAAAACGCTTAATAATTACTAATTTTCACACCTACATATCACGTATTCACAGCTTAAATTAGTAATCAGCTTGAGCCACGTGATCATAAACAAAAAATTTATGGTAACTTTGAAACCTTTTAAAAAGGTGTGTAAGACACCTCAGAATTACTAATTTAATATAACCAGAGATTCACGGACAGAAAAATTAGACGATTAGCCGGTGTAAGTAACGTGATTGTTACCATCAACCTTGGATAACCTGTGAAACCAATCAATAAAGGTGCTTACAAGACCAAATAATTACGTATTCATCGCCACCATCGGTTAACGGACAAAAAACTCGTTGCTTGGTCAAGTGGTTATTTGGTCATAAACACTTGATTTACAGAGGTAAGAGGAATCACGTTACTCCAGTCGCGTGATAAACTGGTGGTTTTTAGGTTAGATGAAAACGTGAACAGGAGAACCTTTTTTGTTTAAATGAAGGCACGTGTCGATAACGTTTAAATCTAGTTCAAAAGGCACTATCGTTCAAAATCACTTAAAATACACTTCCAAAAGAGGTTACTTTTCAGTGTTCTGTTTATTGGGTAGCAACAAAGACGAAAATATAAATGAGAAAATGTTTATATAAGATCAAAACCATTTAGTATTAATAAGATGTGCTTCTTACACTATGTTATAATTACTGAACACGAATGGGGCTGCATGAAAATCGATACTTGATAATAATCAATTATTATTTCATCATCAATGTGTGTCTGTTTAAAATTGAGGACTAGTAGATTGTCTGTCACTTCATATGCGAGAATGCAAGAACTGTGTTCGTAAGATGTCTATCTCTTTATCTCCCTACATATACTCTCTTCTCTGAATTAAGTTTTCTACAATACATTAGTGATGGTTATACTAATTCTAATAACAATATGAGCAATGGTAATGTTTTCGAAACACGTCAGTTCAATATTAATATGTACAAGGCGCAAAGGAAAAAAAATGGTTGTATTTGTCTCTTTTTCTACATCTTTCCTATACGTGCATCAAATTCACTACATCAATCTTGCAGCCTACATCTTCAATGCTAAGCTGTACAAGTATTCCCTCTACCATTAAAGGAGAGATTTCGATATCTTCAAGGTTTATCACTGTCCCCTTCATCCAGCATCACAGGGGGTCGGCAAGGCCAAAAAGAGCTGAGACCATTCAGTGTGGTGCAATGAACATCTTTCCGTGCTGACGTCAGAGACATTTTGGCCATGGGACGTTTTATAAAGTTCAGGCGGAGAAGTTGTATTTTTAAGTAAATGCTTGTTTTTATTACTTGTGATGTTTTTTTGGATGAATTCAAATTAATATTGGACAAACTGAAACAAGACAATACTATGGAAAGAAGGTAAATTACTTGCACAACACGTCCTAATATTGGACGCTTGTCTCTATTGGTTTCCTTTCCCTAACCTTTTTTTTTTTTTGTATTTTTTTAAATAACTCTTCCTTTAAAATTCATTCTCCTATCATCGCCCAATACACACAAAACCTGCACACTTCATTGAGTTAACCTTTCATAAATGGTTGAAATATGAATGAGATGTTCTTGAGAATTCCAAAAGTGTAAGGACCAAGACGAAGATATAAACGATAGATTATTTATATGAGATTCAAACAATTTAATATGAATAAAATGTGCTTTTTACATTCTGAAGTATTAAACACGAATGAGGCTGCATGAACATCGATACTTTATAATAATTCATGATTATTTCATCATCATTGTGTGTCTGTTTAAAATTGAGAACTAGTAGATTGACTGTTACTTTATATGCAAGAATGTAAGAACTGTCTTCGTATAATATCTATCTCCATAATTCCCTACATATAGTCTCTTCTCTAAAGTACGTTTTCTACAATCAATAATGATGGTAAGAATAATACTAATAACAATATGACCAATGATAAAGTTTGTGAAACACGTCAGTTCAATATTAATAATACATGTATGTATAAGGTGCACAAAAAGCAATGGTGGTAGTTTTCTCTATTTCTGCTTCTTTCCTAAATAATAATAGTGAACATTTATAATGCGCCATGTCTGTCAAAATTGACACTGCTGGCGCAGTTGTGTGTAAATTGTATAATTGTGGGCATTCGATCATCAAGTAAGATACACATAAGCTAAAGTTTAACATACTTCAGGACATAATTTTTCAATAATAGAATTACAATATAACAATATTACAGAATTACAATATATTTACATGGATATAATTCACTGCATCTTTTTTGTTAAAACTCTTGTAGAAAATAATTAAATCTTGCCAGACAACATTTAGCAAATATTCTAATTTGAGGTTTCCTTCTTTCAAAAAGCCGTAAGAAACATTACAGTGCTTATTCCCCGAATAACCCTCGAAATTTTTTAACACTTATTACAGCAACACTGCATAACCCCCTTATGTTAAACCGATACCAAAATGAGTAACAGTGTTTTGAGGGTGTTGTAATTTGTGTCTTTATTAAAGGAGAAAAATGCTTAGAAGCTATGTGTGATAAGATACGAAACATAAAGTGCGATGGTCTTAAGTGTGCTTACGAAACCCCGTGGTAAACCAGCACTTTCTTATGACAGTCGTTTGTTATTTACGTCGGTCGAAGCTTCATCTCCGTCTTCTTGAGGGAGTATAAATGACCGAGCCATACATCCCATACCACACCCTTGGCTTTCTCCTCCTGTGTGGTTGGACCGTTCAGGTATAGGCCGTTGAGGTTAGCACGATGGCATTTATTGTACCACCAGCCTCCTTTGTAATAACCGGCGCAGTGTCCCGCTGCATCATCATGATCGCGGTCCCGTGTACTGAACGAATAACCTGCATGAAACGACATACTGTCACCTGCATAGAAATGAAAAAAGAATTTATGGTATACACATGATATAAATTAGTTCGATATTAACACGATCTCTCCGTACTCGACTTGATGCTGCGTGTATGTATTGTACGAAGCCGTCCGTTTGTCCGTCCATCGGTGAATGCTGTGTCTTCTGTATTTCGATGTAACAGACAGATGCGTGTGGGTGAGCATTCGTTATTATTCACGGATACTTTTTTTCTTCAACCCTCACTTCTCGACTTTATATCTTGTTACGGGTTAAAGAAAACAAAAACAAGCAAACAAAAACTATCAACAACAAACCCCCTCCTCGTTTACCTCGTCATATGTGAGAGAGCGTTTGATGGTAAATACCGTTTTACCGTAAAATCGTATATTAACTGTATAAATGAATTGCGGTATTACACTATTAACGTATAACCGTTTTATCGTTTAACCATATACATTTACGATTGTATTACCACAGGGCCTTTAACCGTATTACAATGAACCATATTAAGAAATTACAGTATAACAGAATTGCCTTTTTACTGTATTACCGCATTAGCCTACTGCATGGCCGTATTAACCGCATAACGTATCGTGTATACCCTTGGGTCATTCCGCGATTCCACATTGGTCCGACATACCCCGTTTATTTCATGTCGAAAAAAGAAAAACAGACACCTTAATTGATTTGACCAATTGATAATATTAGTGATACCAAGAGGAACCATATTTTTGATGAATTAAAATGATTAATATCATGTATAGGACACATCGCAGGATCGCCCTATTTCATACCTGCGTCTCCGGAGTACTTGTCAAGGGCCAGGATGTACTTTGCGACCTCGTCCGCAATACTGAAATTGCTGTAGGTGGCATAGCGCGTTTGTCCATCGAAGTCTTCGAGGTCGATCCGTAGCTCGTAGGTCTTATTACGGGAAAGACGGTGGATGTTGTCGTTACCGAGCCAGTGCTCGGAGGAAACGTTTCCAAAACCGTATTTGTAATCGGACCAGTAAAGATAGAAGTCAACGGAACCATCTTGTCTACGCTGGAAGACCTACAGAGAGAGTGGGAGTGAGGCATAGGGGGGGGGGGGGTTGGAGAAAGAAAGATAGAGAGATAGAGAACGAGAGAGGGAGACAGAGAGAGAGAGAGAAAAAAAGAGAGGGAGAGAAAAGGCGGAGAGATAGATAAAGAGAAAGAAAGAAAGAGAGAGAGAGAGGGACAGATATCGAAATAGAGTGAGAGAGAAAAAAAATTAAAAGAGAGAAAGATGAAGAAAGATGTAGAAAGAAAGGGAGAGAGAAAGAGAGAGAGAGAGAGAGAGATTGTGTGTGTGTATTAATAATTAATTCAGAACACTAATTACACTTGCGATGAGATGTGTGTTATTAAATGTTATAGAATTACTCTTGAAAAGTGTACCAACACGAAGAAAAGTGGATGTTACCACATTTCGCTCCAATCATAAGGATACGCAGTCTAAATTGTGGGCCAAGAAGAATGCGATGGCAAAGACTATTAAAAAATCAACCAAATCAATATCAATAACCACTATCGACTCTGTTCTTCATGAGGGCCATTCAATAGGCCAGTTCACGGTTGCAGTCTGAGCATGAGCAGATAAAGGTCATTGCAGAACAAATTTCGAAATACACGAGACGAAATACTGGATACGTGCTCATAAAAGTTATGTAATCATTATTCATTCATGCACAAGCAGTGTACACCATGATTTTATTTAAAAATGTACATAGTGGGACCTCTTGATGTTTTGAAGATCTGTGTATATTCGGGGTCATTGCAGCCATGTGCTAACCGTAAACTATACCTGTTTACACATGGGTGGAGAGTGGACAACGTTGATGAATGCAATAGGATATAGGGTAAATATAGACAGAAATAACCGTCTGATTTGGGTCATATCTTTAATAAAACTGACATTTGTTGACATTCCCCAATACATAATCGGAGGTCTAATGGAGCCAGACGTAGTCTCAGTGGAACAACCGACGATTAGAGAGACTGAAGTTTTCGGTCTAGGGTAAATAATGCTCTTGAGTTTGATTCTTAACACGATCCATTTTCGAAAAGTCAACGAAAGGGCAATTGTAATACCCTATTGTATTTCCCATAGAATTTCTTTTTCGGATTACGTTATACCTCATTGTTATGTTCGCATATTTCAATAGATGACGTACAAGGCAAGCGTCATTTTTTAAAGAAAGTTACTATCGTGTTTCTTGAAAACCTTTGCGATCATGTTAAACGTAGATGGGGTTGATACAAAAGCCATTCTAGCTATCACCGTCATTTCTCACCGTCCAGCGACCTCCGTCCGTTTCCATATCACAGTAAACGAAGAGAGGTTCATCACTAACTCCATCGGGATAGATGGGGTACACCCCACTGAGATGGGATGGTCCACCAGTCTGAATCTCAGCGCAGTCACGTGGCAGCCTCGGAACTGATAGGAAATACAAAGGTGTCGTAGTTGAGAGAATTGAATTTCATTGGACCGGCCTCTCATAGGAGAATGTCCCGGATTCGATCCTTGCTTGGTACTTACATCCTTGGACAAGGTTTACTTCTGACCCAGGGAGATATACATGTCTTGCCTCTTAAATTGCGATATTTCCTACAAGGTGTAATAAATGGGCACCTGACTGGTTCTAAAGAGAGACCTTCTGAATGTCGAGAGCTCCGGAATCGGTAGCCTAGCTAATAGAGACAATAACTGAGGTAATACTGGAGTTCTTTGAGCACCTTACGTGGTGGATGAGAGCCCTGGACAGGAATTCAATATCAGCGACGTAGTATAGGGATGGTGTTATAATAAAAATATAGTTTAAAGAAAACTTAATAAAGAAAATGTCAAGTTGACTAGTAACAGGAGGAGTGACCATACCACAATGCGGACCGGGAGGGTATAGAATAAAACATCTCATTGTGAGAAAAAACACGTTTAGACTAAAAATGGCCTTATAATCTACATTTTAATCTTGATCGACAATTGCTGCTATTTAGTGCCTCAAAAGATGAGGACTACAGAGTGTGAGTCAGTTATTCCAAAGGACCCTTGTACTGTTCATATTTTATTAATTTTGTTGACAATTCCTGAATGTCAATCTCCCATGGTGCGTCAAACACCACACAACTCACTGATTCAGCCATGCGTCACAAGAATGACGCTTCGTGTACAAGAGGCACGGAGCGGTTATAACGCCGGACGTTGAGCGGGAGGTGTTATTCACCTGACGTAGGACTGCGTTAGTGACCTTTGTCGTCTTTGACGCGAAGTATGAGGGTGACACCGTATAGACAATAATACTTATAGATTAATAGCTATCATAGATTTGATAAAAATAACACAATCCTACGCCAGGGAATTGAAACCAGGTGTACAACGGGAATGCTATGAAATGCTCACCGTCCGTGGCGGTGACTTGCGTCATTTCGGCCGGTATGATCGTAGACATGTCCGTGAAGTCAGCCAATACTAAGGGTGTTTCTGCCGTGACACAAGATTCATAGAAAGCATTTAATAATAATAATGATTATGATGATAATAATGATGATCATAATGATAATAATAATAATACAAATCACGATCATAATACGAAGAAGAAGGAAAACAAGAACAAAAGCAAGAAGAAAGAGAAGAATGATAATAAACCTATGGCCTTTAGGTGTGGGGGTATTGAGGGTACCTGGGGGGGGGGCACCTAACGTATAAGGTTCATGAAGTGTTAATAAAAAGGCCGCCTGTTGGCAGTGATTATTCTGAAATGAAAAATGTGCGATTTCTCCATGTATACAAATATTTGTGGATATTCACGTTCATTTGAAAATCATATTGTAATTCTGAAATGGTCTACAGGGCTAACAGAAAACCCCACTATAGGGGTCACATACGATTCGCAGTGTTAATATTTCAGCTGTCAGAATTCTAGAAAGATGTATCAAACGAACAACTTTAACAAAGCAAAAATTGAAATTTGTCTAATGCTGGTACATCTTAGGGGCTGTATAATAATAATATATAATATTCCGCTTTTATATAGCGCTAAATACAAATATCTCTATAAGCGCTTTATAGATACTATACCCCTCCCCCAAATTACTCAAGTACAATTCCAAATGATCTCTACACCCCCACCCCTCTCCCCACCCCTGAATTCAAAGGAATGGGGCCCGCTTGGAATGTTTTGCTTTCCTTATCGCTTTTTGTCGCCGACAATAAACAACATTTCAACTTGGTTCATAATTCACTTGCCATTCAGTCCAAGGTTTGAGGGTTCATATCCCAGCCCGGCACTAAGGTTTTTGGGCAAAACATTGAGCCAAATTTGCAAATCTCCACGCAGTTGGAGATGCATGTAGAGCCATTTGCCTTTCTCTCTCTCTCTCTCTCTCTCTCTCTTCCCCCCTCTCTCTCTCCTTCTGCCTCTTTTCCCTGTTTGACTGAAGATCACTTAACATTAAAAACGGCTTTAAAAAATCTATTATTCTTTTGCAAATTCGTTTTTAGCAGAATAATCTATTATTAACAAGTAGCATCGTGCCATTTTCACCAATTACGATTATTTCGATGCAGTTAAGCGCTTATTATGAAGAAAGAAAGCTAAGCAGGGAAATCTTAACTTCTTCATAATATGTTCTTGATAATAATTCTTGTTCGCTCTTTTTTTTTTCTCTTTGCCCTCATATATACTCGACGATATATATATATTGCTGCTGCTGCTAGAAGTGTACTTCTCTTTTTTCCTTGTTTATATTAATGTTTGATGGTGATTTTCTTTGTACATGTATTGTTGATCTGTTTATGTATTTTAATTTGTTGGGCCCTTTTTCTCCGGGGTCATCAAACCAACATTGTGTTCTGCTAAATTTTTTATGTAACTTATTTTGATTGTATGTATATTTCGATGGTTGAATAAATAAATGAATTGAATTGATTTGAATTTTCTGAAATGCAAAAAAGTACGATTTCTCCATGTATAAACATATATATGGATATTCACGTTAGACTTTGAATTTGAATTAAATTCAAATAAACTCCACCAACTGGACTGGACTTAAGTTATGTTTTCTATTAGCAAAAACAACTAAAACATTACTACTCAAGATAGAAGAAGTATACAACAGAAACACACAATATTTCTTGTCAATAGAAAGAAACGCTGTATACATTATTTAATCTGTTCAGGTTTTTTTTTTTGTCCTTATTTATCCTCTTAAACTTGTTTGCTCAAAAATCTGTTGTTCCGCTATCATTTTATCTTCTCTTCATTCAAATTCATTTCCTCGTCCTATTCCTAATTTGAATTTTTTGAAACAATTTGTCATCCCTGCTGCTCTTCCATACAACTATTTCTACCGCACCTGAAATAATTTCAATAGAAGTCCGCATATCAAATGACATGGATAAGGTTTTGAATTAAAAAGATCTCTTCACTACTAACCTATGCCTTATTTATCAACAACATTTCACATCTAGACGTATCAAGTATGTATGTAATAAAACCATAACACCTCTACTGACATTTTATGGAACCTCCGACTGTGGGAATTTATATGATATTAGCCATGTTCAGACGGGGTTTGGCGAGTCGGTGTAAGTTAATCCCTACAGCAGTAAATACCTCATTTTATTTAACTTGCCACAATTAAGTTAACACGACCTTACACCGACCAGCGTAATGTAAGTGACGGCGCCCACATTAGTCGACCTCAACCCGCCTGCGCATAAACCGTGCGAAATCTAATTTTTATTTTCGATTGTAACAAACAATTCTACTGAAAGGTCACAGATACCCCCGAGTGTAAAGGCCCGGTCACACAGCCCTCCACGGGCGTATCGCGGCCGAATCACGGCCAAAAATGTCTGCCCGTGAAGCAGACGCTGTTGGACGCTTTGAGGTCGCGATAAAGACGCGATACAGCCGTACTTTACCCGTCGTTACACGCGGTAAGAAATTCACACGCGGTTGGCCGCGCGAAAAAGTTTTGGGCTGCCCAAAAATTTAGACCGCGGGTAATCGCGGGCGGTACACGTGGTACACACGCGGTAAAGACGCGGTACAGACGCGGAACGAACGTGCTAGGACGTGCTACGGCCGCGGTTAAGACGTGGTTACACGCGGAATTGGACGCGAAATTTTAGCGGGTAATCGCGGGTGGAGCACGGTCATAGCACGTTTGTTCCGCGTCTGTACCGCGTTGTTATCACGTGCATTAGCGTGTGTACCGCGTGTAAGCGTGGTAGGCCGCGGTACCGCCGCGCTTCACCCGCGATAAGGACGCGGAACAGTCGCCGGCGTCTGTTCCGCGGGCATACCACGGGTAAACCGCGGGTAAGCCAATTTTGCACATTTTCCACCACGGGCAACCACGGGCAAAAAAAATCGCGAAATTTTACCCGCGATACAGACGCGAAAGGCTGTGTGACCGGGCCTTTAGTGAGAGCATCCGCACGTTCAACTTACGCTACCCTCTAGTCGTATAAGTAAATCCAGGAGTAAATAGGTCGGGGTAAAGGTAGGCGTAGCTAACACGACCATCGTTTACACGGTCCTACTCCGACCTTTACACCTACCTTATTTACATGGATAGCTTTTAACACGACCTTTACCCCGGGGTAAATTGCCTCCGCCTGAACAAGACTATAAAAAACGTTAAACCGTGCCAATTTCATGATGATTGGAAAAAAAGAAAAAAAAATACACTCTCTTTATGTAAGGGATTTATCAAGGGAAAAGGGGGATAAAGCCCCGGGCCCCCACTCAGTGTTATTTAGGGTACGCATATGCATGTTCCCTCCTTTTGAAAACACCCCCTCCGGTGTGTAAAGACAATTTTGTGTATGTACGAGCCGGACTTTGGTGCGTGAAAAGTACCCCTTTACCGGACATTTTGGTAACACGCATGCGATCATTCCGACCCCGGAGTGGGGGGGGGGGGGGATAAAGCGGAAAGGCGGGGGTAGGGGGGAATCGAAAACCAGGTAAATGACCCAATCTTTCCTTGAGTTAACGCATGTTCTTTCTGACAACAGTTTCATACCACGCATCTTCCGTATTAGGGCTCTATCTTTTCTCCTCAAGATATTTTCTTCTACTTTATACACATTCAAACTTTCTGAATCATATACAATCGCTACTATAAGGTATACTGCTATGATATTCCTCAAAACCCACAAAATAGGAAAGTTACAAAATATTCTTATTATGTTTTCAAAACCTTTATCAGAACTCAAATGCTTGGGATTATTGTTCTTACGCTCATTGCAATGTTTCCCTTGAAAACCAGGTGAACAGTGACATAGATAGCTTTCCATAGTTTCCTCGCACCAGCCGTTTTCACAGAGCTTCTTGTCACAATCTATTAAAGATAAAGGAAAGAAACTTAGTTTGTGTGTGTGTGCGTGTGTGTATGTGTGTGTTCATGCATATGTCTATGAGACGTGTGAGCATGTTTTGTTTTTGCTTTTTGGTTGATTACTCAATCAAAAGGAAAACCTATGACTTCATATTAACTATACGGAAATGGAAAGAAGAAACTGCCAGCTTTTAACGGCATATAAGTATCATTTTTTTTCTCTTTTTCATTATCATTCCATCAGCAAATGCACATGTACTTATACTTAAATAAGATGTATCTATCAATTATTCATTCATTCATTGAATTTTTGCGTCCATGAGGTGCAGGCCTATAGGCCATATAGTTCATATAAGGACACAAATACCCCCTGTACAATCATCCCCCGGAAAATTACCCTCCAGTAAACTACCGACAAAGACAACCAACCCAAGGACAACTTCCCCCCTGAAAATTATTCCCTAGGTCGATAATCCCTTACCCCTAGGACAATTCCCCCTCCCAAGGTCAAACAAAGACAACCATTTCCGAGGACAATTACCCCCCGGAAATTAACCCCTGTGCATCAGAAGAAAACAAATCGGTTATTTTTTCTCCTCGGGGCTCCCGTTACCCCCGCACCCTCAAGGGCAACCTCCCCCGATTACTCGAGGCGGGGGTGATTTTCCAGGGGGTAATTTCCAGGGGGTAATTTCAAGAAGGAAACATGTCCTCGGGGGGTAATTGTCCTCGGGCGTGGTTGTCCTGGGGGGTGTAATTGTCCCGCTGTTTGGCTGGGGGTGATTGTCCTCCCCCAAACAAACTCAAAATGTTTTCACCTTGTGCGCTTCTATATGTGCAATCTTACTATAGCTAACAAAAATTGTCCACACCCTATACACCCTTCTAGTTTTTTTTTTCTTTTCCCTTGGTTGAAAAATATCAGGAGGGACAAATATTGCTCCCCTTTCTCCTCTTTCAAATACGCCGGTACATATTACTTTGTATTCAAGATTCAAGATTTTATTTTACATTGGTGTAAAATGTTATACGTAAAACATAAGACAACAACGTGTGCTGAAAGCCAGAAAGGAGTCAAGACTCTATAAAGAAAAAGTCTATGATCAGGTACGGTCCTCCGGCTTT